TGCAAAAGGGGGGGGGGGGTACGTAGTCGTGCATGCCGTGGTCGTTAGACCAATGACCTCGCATCCCTACAAAGCCGGGACGGAGTACGCCGGATCCTCACCGGACAAGGGGGGAGGGGGCGGGGGCGGGGGCGGGGGCGTACTCACGTTTTGCATGCCTTATTTGCTAGACCATTGACCACGCTCTCTCGAGAGGACGGATCATTGTCCCCACAGCATAGGCGTGGGGGGAGGGGGTAAGGACAGCAATAGTCGTGGAACAAAGCTGCTCATGAAGAAAAACGAGGGAACAACGAAAAGCAGCACCAAACCACACCATTGCATATACAGTATGTGTTATATCATGTGGTACGTCTTTTTTATGCCTATTTCGTACTGCTTCAACTACGACTGTACTGCGGCTGCCACAACAGCAACCACTACCAGAAGGAACTACAAGCGAGAGCAATAGCTGCCTGCTACTGTCTCACCCGCCCGACCCCATTCTTCTCCACAGCCTTGCCGTCATGTCCTTGCTACCGCTCAAGAACCCTGCGGCGTGTGCTCCCTCGTGTCTCCCTCCCGCCAGCGAGGGCACCGCACAGAGAGCCGTAACCGGAGCCTGGTGCGCCTTTTCCAGACATGTCACCTACTCGGGGAGCCGCGGAAGAGGGAGAGGGGGCGGGTTCGTTGCTTGCCGCAGTCTGTTGGGCAATTCACACAAACCTCTTGCGGCGGTGGATGGACTTTTCATCCGTGGATGCAACGTAGCTTCCTTGGGCAGCGAGCGCAGACAGCAGTGCTTTGTAGACAGAAAAACGTGCGGTGTGGGGTGTTAGAACGTAAAACCTCTCTCCCTCGAAGTCATGGGGAATGCGCCTTTCAAGCAAGAACTCGAACACACATGCCAGCCCGCGACTCTTGTATCTAGCTTTAGAGAGAGAAAAACCAGCACGTACCACATGCCACTGCGAGCGTAGCGATACACTTCAGAAAACAAAACCAATACCCGCGCTGACCTTGCAGCCGGGGCCGTAGACTCGCAGGCAGCCATCGTAGCAGCCCGTCACAAAGGTCTCCAGACCCGCGCCCGCGCCGGCGACTGCGCTCACCCAATCCGGCTTGGATTTCGTGAGAAGAAGCAAGCAAGGCAGCCCATGAGTGTGGGAATACGACAAGGGGGAGGGTAAGTGAGACAAGGGTCTAGAGAATGGCAGTACCACCCTGACCTGCTGGGATGCAGTCAGCATTACCAATCATACACCTGCTTTCTACGGCGACAGAAACGACCATAACCCCGCTCCCGCCCGCCACGCGGCGAAGCCCTCGGTAGCAATCGACTATGCTGGTGGACACTCCACCCGGAAAGCACCAGACGAGGACAAATTGTTGTGGCCCAAATAGACTTGCAAACAACGATGATAAACGTGAAAAAAATAGAGCACAAACTGCTGTCGCAGCCGGCGCCGGCGCCGCCGTCACCAAGCGCCCGAAAGCCCTAGATAGTGGTGAGCTCGGATTTGGTTACCCCCTGTTTAACGACATGCCTTGCATTGAGACCACCAAATCGCGTGGCTGGCACCACTGCACTCGGACTAATAGCCACTACAATTGTCGGCAACCGAGGCCTGACTAGGGGTCGCTGAACCGAGCCCCACCACTACATCGCAAACAAAACCCAGTAGCCATGTACCCATACATAGGACCGCCGTCGCGAGAAATCAAGTTTATGACGAAGTGGAACAGGTAGACGGGGCTATCAGCTATCCCTATAACCCTAACCCAACTTCCCCGATTGCATGCTTTATCCAACATGTTTACATAAAAGGACAACCCTGCCAAGGCTGCCGCGGACCGACTTCGCGAGAAATTAGGTTTATGACGGCCTACAACAGGGAGGGGGTATGCAGACCGTATCCCAATTCCCTTTGTAACCACAACCCAACTGCGACGTACTGCTGTACATACCTGATCGGCGTGCTCTGCCTCAGTGGGCTGACGGAGCGCCGGCAGGTACTCCACCTCCAGCACCGCCTCCCCGCTCAAGGCGTGCCGCTGCATCACCGACCGGAGGGAGCTCCGAAGGAAGCGGCCCATCACGAGCATGTCGAACGGGGTCGGCGGGTCGCGGCCCAGGAGGTGGTTGACGACCTCGGAGAGACCATAGCGCTGCAGGCTCTCGGGAACGGCCACGGGAGTCTCGGTGACCCGGATCGAGGGGACCTTTGTCACGAACTTCACCCGAACCTTTTTTGTTGCGTGAAGGGTTTCGAGAGTGGGGGTGGCGATCAAATGTTGGTGACGGTGGAGGGCGCCGGGGGGAAATCGCGAGGGGGGGGGGGG